GGACCAGGGGGGCCCCCGGGGGGCCGGGGGGGGGAGGGGGGGGGGGCTTTCAGACGGGAAAAGCCAGTGGCTCCTCTGGCCCCCAATGGTGAGCAGATGCTGGAGGGGAGAGGGGCAGTCGGGTCCAGGCCAAGGGGGGATTCTGTTTCTAGAGGAGTTTGTAACAACCCCCTCCCCCTCCCACCCACGTGCTGCTCGGCGCCGACTGGGGAAGAGGTTCCGTTTGCACAGTGCAGAAGGCACTGGGATCATGTACCCATGTCTCCAGCTGCCCCTAGCTCCCCCCCAGACTCCCCACTGGGGCGGGGCAGGGCCAGGCAGGACTGTGGCATCACTGCATGAGCAGGAAGGTAGAGCCAGATTTGCAGGTGGGACCCCCCCCACACACCTCACCCACTCCCCAAGGAGGGAAGTCCCCGCACCTGGCACCTGCACACAGAGGGACACGGATTCCCGGAACTCCCTGCCACAGGAAGCGGAGGCCAAAAACTGAGCAAGAGCAAAGAGGGAGGGCCACAGATCTCCTGGCAGGGACGTTAACCCTTCGCTGCAGGCTGCCCAGGGCCGATCAACTCAGCTCGACTCCACCCAGCTGGCACGGCTTAAGGGAGTTTTATGGCCCCAGGAGGGTGCAGAACCCAGATACCCCAGAGCAACCCCCCAGTGCCCGCACCACCCATCCCCACCACATCCCCGCAGCCTGGATGGGCACAGCAAGTGTGGGCACAGCAAGTGCCCGACACCCCCTCGTCGCTCTTGAGATCTGGGGTCAGAAATACCCCAAGCCTCCCCACTGCAGCCCCGCCCTCTGCCCCATGGAGAGGCACAGAACATGCCAACCCTGCACACCACTGGCCCAGATGTTGGACCTGCCTGGCACCGGAGTCACTGAGGGGGGACCCCAGGTCACAGCCCTGAATGCGAGACGGGAAGAAAGCCAGAGTCCTGGCTTGCAGCCTGGTGTCCTACCCCCAGGCCAAGTCTCAGATCTGAGACCCCCTCGCGGGCACCCACGCGACCGCCCCGGGATGGAGACCACAGTCTGCCTGTCACTGCTGCACCCGCACCCTGCCCGGGCACGGATGGTGCGTGCTCCACACTGGCAGAAGGGACCGTCAGCCGGATGCGAGACACGCCCGGCGGGCACCCGCCACCCAGCAGGAAGGCAGCCCCATGTGACGGGAAGCCATACCCCCCGCCCCGCGGGCCTAACCTGGAGCCAGGGTGGGGTGCGTTCATGCACCGGGCCAGGCCCGCGCTCGGCGACCGGGGCGGCAGCTGCGAATCCTGGAGGCTCTGGGGCCACGGGCGAAGCCCTGACCATGCACTTCCCGTCACGCCTGCGACCGCAGCTTCCCCTTTGCTGCTCTCAGCTGGGC